GGTTACCTGGAGTGGATCTCTGCCCCTCTCTTTGACCTTCCACCTTGGTGATGAGTGTACACATCCTCCGCTCGGAGGACTGCGGCCGTCACCTGCGGACGCCATCCCAGGTCTGAAAATATCATCTACCTACATAAATATATAGAGATGGTTCGAATATCATCCACCTCCATAAATATATAGTGGTTGTCTGAGAGTGACTCAACCTCCTCTGCCACTTTCCAGCCTGCGACCTGTGTAAACGGGTTGGGGGTCGTTCACCCTGTGGAGCCCCTGTTCACCAACAGGAGCCCGAGTTCCACAGCCAACTATGACAGCGCCAGCTTGCATGCATTCGTCCTGGGGTTCCCCCATTCCATGGAGTGAGCATTGAAATCCCCCAGGACGAGCACTTAGTGGGGAAGGAATCGGCTTACGCAATTGCCAACCCCGTCTAAGAATTGCTCGAATGCAGCCCGTCCGCTGTTGGGCGAGATGTACATACCCGTCACCACCATTCCTGCCCACTCGAGCGATTCGAACGTGAAGAAACATATGCGATTATGAAAAGAGTTGAAAGATCTTACGATCAAAAAATTAGAATACATTCTGGTTGAAAAGAAGAAACCAAAACCATTAAGACTATACAAGCCGCGAATTGAAGCAGTATGTGTAAAAATAGAATTTGTAATTTCAAACGACGCCGTTTTATAAATTCAGAATTGTTATGAAGTTTCGTATGTTCTTTACAAATAGGACGGTAAGAAACATAAGACTGTGTCCAGTGAGAAAGCTGAACCAGAAAAATTGTTGCACAAGGATGAAAAAGAAATAAAAGCTACTATGCGTAAAATACGAAGAAACAGTACTTTCTTAACTAAATTACGAATATAACAACAGAATAAGAGCGATTGTTGAAGTGGTTACCACTTCTAAGAAAACTCTACATCTGGCCTTTTTTCGTTTTCTCAAGCACTGAAGCCATTGACAACGCGTAGACAAAAGACTGCGACGAAGTCAGGCCATAAACAGTAAACAGGCGACGTTGGCTCCGGGGTTTTTAGTTATTGGGTAACACAGCTAGCGTGCGGATCTGTACCAGCTCAAATTGTATTCTTACTTATTACACTTCTATTTAAATATATTTTCTGCCTTACAATTTATCCATGTGTTTCTCTGCTTACACACCGAATGACCTCAACAGCGATGAAGAACGTAAGCGCAAGGTGAAAGAAATCTTTGCCGAAGCTTCAGTGCAACAGAGTGAATTAGAGAAATTAAAACGTAGGAAGCAATAGTAATAGAATGAGCCGCGGAATTCCGGAAGCCGTGTGTATCACCTTTCTTAGACAATATTGGTATTTTGAGTGATTTTGTGCGATTGTACCAACGATAACCTCGGATATAACGAATCGTGATCACTATCGTGAGCCAGTTAGGACCTGCTGCCAAATAGTCGGGTGTAGAAATTCGTCGGGCGTTTGGCCTCGCGATATTAGATCCACGGAATTGTCGTTGGTAAGAATATAGCGCTAATCGCGGACACTGGTGTTTTTTTGGATTTCGGAGACTCTGTTAGTGACAAATGTTTTAAGTGTGTGAGGTAATGTATTTATCCAATGGAAGGTGATGGTGAAATCAGTTCAATGGGACAGTTCGAGTAATGTTGTGCAATAGGGCCTGCTGTAATGTCGATATCAGGGACGTAAGAAGGAGTGCTCCGCTCAGCTCGAGCCGAGGAATGGTTTGAGATTTGAGCGGGGCTACTTTTGATTATGTGGTTAGAAGCTGTGTACAGACGCGGCCGTCAGGTTTAATGGTTCGGAGATAAACACAGGCTAGGTAAGCTTTCTCGCTGGCATCGCAGATGCCATGCATTTCGATCTCCATTGAATAAAGTTACGACGCAGGGGGTTTCTAGACCCCCAGGTCCCGTCGGCATGGAGACGGTTGGGGCATCCACCTGGAGCAGATGTGCAGAGAACGGAGCCGTGAGCGTAATCGAAATCTCCAGAAAAACTGGAGCATTCGGACAAGGAAGGTAACCAGGAATGAAGGATAAGTGCCTGTGAAAGTAAAGCGGGTAGGAACTAACGAAATCTGGTCAAGAAAGACGTTAAAGGCGAAATTAAACCGAGTGTGAGCTTATGACGGTGAGGTAGCCACATTAGGACGCGTGACAATAGCGCCACTACATGAACTACCCGAGGAACTTCACAGATGCAGCCATATTGGCACGTGCGCCGAAAGCGCGCCGCGCGGGCCATTCGAAAATGGCAGTAACTGGTGGAGTGACAAGCGCGGAACAAGTGGCCATTTTGTGTCCAATGGGGAAAAGGGACGCAACCGCGGCGAAAGATAAGGAGGTAGAGGAAACCGTGAGAGGAGGGGGTGAAGTGGAGTGGGCTGCTAAGCCGACACACGTCAACACTAGAAGCATGAAGAAGGCGGTCCCGCCTAAAGAGGGGTTCTCCTACTCCACACTGCGAAGCGCCTCGCGCGAAGAAAAGGAAGGCCGGCGGATCCCCCGAGCTCTCCACGTACCTAGCCGAAGAGATGCGAATATCTACTACGGCGGACATAGGAGCAGAACTGATCCGTCGAGCCTCTGAGGTGACCAAGGTTGCAGAGACATCTCCCAACCTCAAGGTCACACAGGGGAAGACGCTGAGAGAAGCGGCGAGGACCACTGCTGCTGGCGCAACAGAGATGGCGAGAAGAATAGACCCCGTCTCTGGCGCCCTCGCTATAATGCAAGAACGCATAGCGACACTAGAGGTGGAGAACGAGGTGCTCCGAAAAGAGCTGGCCTCGCGCCCCACCACGACGAAGCTAACTCCCGGGACAGGGCCGAAGAGCCCGAGGAAAGCCCCAGAGGGAGGATCGGAGAACGCGCGAAAAGGGGGAAGCAAGCTGCCCCCCTCCACATACATCGCGAACATCGGCGGTAACAATCACACTGAGAGATAAATCGGGCTAACCCTACGCATCGGTATGCATCCACGCGGTGAGAATGCAAAAGACCATTACCGGAGGCGCCATTCTGGAGGTCGCCGAGGACCAGGCTGACCCGGGCCTTGGATCCGAACAAAGTCCGCGTGGCGACACCCTTCCGAGCCGCGGAAGCAAGAGTGACTGTGATAGACATATCGGCTACTAAGGAGGAAATCAAGAAGAGTCCGAGAGTCGGATCCATGTAACAACGTGTGATGGCATTGCTCGCATATGCGACAGGATCCGCCGTTACAATGTGGGAGCGTGTTTCCTGTGAGCAAGCAATTGATATACCATACGCTGATACTTCTTCGGCGGCTACAAGACGTTTCATCCTGAAGGTGTTGTAGCTTTAAATTTTATGTGGTCCGCGGTAAATCGGACAGAATGACAGAGATTGCGACGTTATAAATGCATGCCCTCGTGTTTGGCGTGTCGTTCTTATAGGTTCTATGATCTAACAACGATCGTTTAAAAACTTCAGGAGTTATTTGAACGTAGGGAATGGTGTGAATTGTGTTTTGTTCTTCCACATTAACTCAGTTTTACGATCTAACTTATGATGTGAATAAATACAGCAGCAAGGAATCTGCGGTCGGTTTTCCGAGAGGTTCCAAGGCCTCTACCTTGGTTGTATAGGACTGTAAGTCTCAATGTGATGTCCGTGTTAAGGGGACCGTGTCAATCATCTCCTTCAAAGGTTTCTTCACGATTTTAGCCGGTTTATTGTATCGTTGTTCCAATATGTCCCAAATGGCCGAGTAATGAACTGCTGCGTTGCTTAACAATGCTATAACGATGCTGGCCAATCTTCGTAAGCCTTCGAAAATGTGGATAACTGAATTTTTGTCAACTCGACGGAATCCGACAATGGTGTGCACGACAAGTTTGTTGTAATATTTCGAGTTATTTGCTCTGATCGCTTGTTTGCATCAATGTTTTCTATCGCGCGTCCCATAATGGTATACAACATCTGTTGTAGGTCAATACGATCCTGCATTGTTTGATTCTCATCCCTATAGTCTAATTCACTTTGATTTTTCTTAAACGCCTGTAGATTCTACCACTAAGTTGTCTAAATTACGTTGGATAGCAGTTGTAGGTGTCCTTTCCTCACAATTATTGAGAGCAGCGCGCAATGCTTCTAATTCTCTCCTGAACCCTTCTCGTTTCTGCACCAACTGTTTTATGCGCTCTTCCTGATTAGGAGCCATGATGAGTTTCGATATCTGAGCGACCTTACTTTGTGGTTGCTATATGGACGTTGTTGGTTTTCATAGATTCACGTGGCACTGTATAGTTACTGGTGAGTGCTCTTTTCACTTGGCACGGATCTGGCTCAAAGGACCTGTAGCGGCACTCGACAGCAAACGTTCCAACGGTTTCTGTCCCGTGGCTCGCTACATAAAGACCTTATCCTTCGGACAAGGTGATTGCCAGATGTCGATACATTTCTTCGGAACATTTTCAGCTAACTTAAGGACCCGCTATAAATCTTAGAATTTATTTAGCTAATGTCCTCCAAAGGAACAAATAGTCTTTGTCTCAACAGTCCCTGTACCTATCACCCACTACGAGAAGATGCTGGAAGTCTGCTTTCCTCACGTGCGACGCTTCCTGCTAGCAACTCTCTCTCAGGGATTGTTAGCATCCTTTCCCAACCAACGGCTCAGAATTTAGCCAATTAACAGCGACGTCCATTTCTCTCACTTTCCGAACTAACGCCTTCATCAAGGAATCCGATGATCTCGTATCCTGAGACACACTCCATCATAGTTTTCCTATGCAGTATCATCACGAGAAAAAAGTCAGTCGCGAGTCGTCTGTCCGAATTGACAGTTAGTAGCTAGACTGAATCCGAGTTCCTCGACCTCTGCGGCAATCATCGTCCGAACTCAAAGCGCATGTCGAATCGTATTTATCGCATCTTGAACTTGTATCCGCGAACCGCGAACCGAATGGAACAACCGCGAGTTTTCGCCAAGTGCACTCCTTGGATATTACCGTTAATAAATATTTATTGTTAAACAAATTCGAGTTTTCCTTCAATCACTATCACGCCCTATCACCTCAGACCAAATGTTTCGATCGCACAGAAACGCGTCAAGGGAGTCGTAACTTCCCTTTACGATTATTTAATCGACGCTATAAAATAATCCCCTATTTAGATTATGAGAATAGAGGTGGTTGAATTGAATATTACACTGATTTTACTGGTTATAATATACAGTTTATTACGACAACTTATTTCACAGAGAGTATAAATGTTCGTAGGTACTCGTGAGTCAGATTACGATGTTGCGAGATAGATAAATTGTAAATAAGATATGAACCGCGAAATGGTTTCACCGATTTAGCGACTAGTAAAGAGTTTTGAATAGCGGGAAGAAGAAATAGCAGGAGCGAAGGGTGTGCTCAGGGAAACAACTAGTGCAGAAAAGACCAGGACACATCTTAATTGAAATAAACAATAAGGTATTGGCGGACGAGATCGCAAAGAAACTGACAACGGCCATGAAGAAGGACATAGACACTTTGCCGTTGGCAAACAGGGAGACTCTAGACTCAGTCGCTGACTGAGAGCATAGCTACTGAGTTTAACGACAAAAATGGGTTTCAGATAAAATCGCTGCGATGATACCTTGGGGAACCCAGGAACGGTGGTGGTAGTTCCGGCGAATAGCATTCCAAGGAAGAAACCCACTATCAGGATTAGGATAGGGTTGTCGATAGCAACAGCTAGAGTTATCCCGAATGTCCTCAGATGCTATTGATGCCATATGCTGAGACATAACGCGACGAGGTACAAGATATTGAGTTCAGGGAAG